AAAATATCAAGAGAACAACCTCACGAAGAGGCAAACACAAGTGACACACTAACACTTGTCTCGAAAAGTTCTCCTCCTAAACAAGATTCTCAAACTCCTTATGGCTACATTGTGGATGTTGTTGAATGAGAAGGAATGATGATCAATTTATAGAAGTCCAAACCTTTTTCTCCAAGAAAAGGGACTAGCGAAATATGAGAGATTTATAATTTTGTTCTAAAAGAGTGAAAACCCAATTATTGTAAACATGTTGTCCTTTCCTTCAATAAATAGAAAGACAAAATATGATAACAAGATTTGGACAAACACGTATCAAAAGGGTGGTTTCTGCTTAAACTTTATCTTTATTGATTTAGTTAGTAAAATAATCTTGATCTCACCATCTGTCTTGACTTGGTAACTACCAAATCAAGACTTGAGTGACTTAATTGTTTGACGAAATAGAGAACACCAAACAAAATTTGACACATTCTTAAAAGACTTGCAGTAATAATCCTATGTTCCATAGCAACATTAATGGAAAATTGGGGGCTCAATTATTACAAAATGAAGAAGTATAAAAGAATATTGTATGAAAGCAAGACTTTCATTGGTTGCTCTGCTCAACCACTGCCAAATGGTTAGCTGTTAGTAGAATATTCATGCACTTAAATTGCAGCAGCTTGTTTTAAAAATTGATTTATTGCTGGTTGGGTCGACTGGCTTTCTCAGTTTTTTTCTTTAATAAACTTAATTTCCTGGAGGATGATCACTATCTACAATAGTTTAAACGTTTACTTATTAGGATAATATTGAGCTTTATGCACGCGTTTTGTCATTATCAATAACTATATATAAATACAAGTTGTTGTTAATTAATTGGATATTAATCAGAGTGCTAAGTAGTAGTAAGTAGCATTTTGATATTCAAGGGGTTAGTTTGTCATTTACTTTCTGAGCCCAGGAACAAAATGATGCAGAAGAGTTCTTCTTGTTTCTCCTCTGCTCAGACGTTTCGGTGGAGTTATGATGTTTTCTTAAGTTTTAGAGGTGAAGATGTACGTAAAACTTTTGTTGACCATCTCTACGTTGCTCTGCAGCAAAAGGGTATTCATACATTCAAAGATGATGAAAAACTGGAGAGAGGCAAGTCCATTTCACCTGATCTTACGAGAGCAATTGAAGAGTCGCGTATAGCTTTGATCATCTTTTCCAAAAACTATGCTAATTCAACATGGTGTTTAGATGAACTAATGAAGATCATGGAATGCAACAAACAAAAAGGACAAATTGTCCTTCCGGTCTTCTACGATGTAGATCCATCAACAGTGAGGAAACAAAAGTCAAGCTTTGGAGAAGCATTTAGCAGTCATGAAGCCCGTGGTTGTTTCAAGTTGCAAAAATGGAGGGCAGCATTGGTGGAAGCTGCTAATTTATCTGGCTGGGATTTGCCAAATACTGCCAATGCGTGAGTATCACGAAATCAATCTCATCGCAATAATTGTTCATTTACTCTCTAAATTCTTTGTCTGTTTCTACTTTGCACTATGTTGTACATTTTGTTGGGCTTGAAATTATACTTCATTTAGATCTAGTTGAATTCTTTGTTCTGATTGATGAGTCACGAGCAGGTGTTAATGAGAGATTGGAAGTTTGGAGACAGACTCTTGAGTCTAAGGGTTTCAAGCTAAGCAGAACGAACACCGAATATCTTGAGTGTAAGTTCAACGCTGAGCCGGGGTAAGTGGACGTTGATGTGAGGCTTGAGTCACAGGTTATCCCAAGTAGAGGCAGCTTCAAGTACCTTTGTTCGGTTATCCATAGGGGAGGGGAGATCGACGAGGATGTCACATACCGTATTGGGTAGGATGGATGAAGTGGAGGTTAGCATCTGGAGTCTTGTGTGACAAGAGAGTGCCAACGA